TGCAGTTCCGGCGGCTGTGAGAGCTACACTTGAGCACCCAAGCATATGCGCTCATAGCCACTTGAACTACACACNGGTTATGGCCATACCTCGCCATATGTGTGAACGTGCTATAGAAAACTTCCGAAAATGACTCCAACAGTGTGATGCAGCTAACAAACCCCATCTTCCTGATATTGTTTTCAAAACATAAGTATTTTAAATGTATGTTATGCTAATCTTGAGGAAAATAAACTTTCTTCTTTATGTACCTCCATTACTCTTTTATTTCGCCTCAAAACTGTTCAATCAGTTCTGCCCCACCCTGTAATAAGGTAGCCAACACATTTAAATTGTATATTGTAATCAATATACAACAAATAGTCAAATAGTTAAAGACTACTTATAGCCTTATAAGAATTAGCCAAGCTGCTAGCTACGTACAATGTATTGCACACTTGACGTCTCTGTACCTAAAACGTTCAATTTATTTGAACCCAATACACACTAAAGGCAACATATTTATATACCAATTTCATCATTCTTAGTACATTTATACTAAACCATGAATAACAATACCTCAATATAAATTAAAGACTGCCACTCAATATATTTAAATATATGAAAAAATCAAAAAAATCAAATAAATCGAAAAAATCAAAAAAATCATGATTTTTTTATAAAAAAATCAAGTGATTTAATCACATGATTTAATCATTTTGATTTAATCATTGCCAACCCTGTGTCTTCCTTTACCAATTATCATATTTCTTCAGTTCTCTATCCAACTCAATTTAAATTAAATTCAATATTTTTATCTTTTTCAGTGTAGAAGACCAAAGCATAATTTGCAAACTTGAATTATCACTCTTAAGTATTTGGATTCCTATTCAGTATCTCAGCCTTGGCACTCAGTTGCACTGGTGAGTGGCATAGAAATTTATATAATTTATTCATTGATTATTTAGGTTAAGTTTTGTCTTTGTATTTTGCTAATTTCATTGATATTAACTTCTTGTGTTCCCTTGCATTTTACTTTGGTTGTGTTCATCTCTGACTGATATGGTTTAGTTTGAGGAAGTCAATTTATTATATTGGATTATGGTTATAGTTAATTCTAGTAAGCTTATGTTCTCAATTCATCTTGCAGTGTTCCTTTATTTATCTGTCCACTTGTGATTCCTTTTAATTCAATCCTCGTGCGAGTACTCATTAGTTTTAAAAATAAATTCACAATATGGAGATAAGCTTTTACTAGTTTTATGGAGTTTAATGGTTCTTGCTTTGTTTACATTCTACATCCCATCAGGTTATCAGTCAGTCATGATTTGCATTTTTATTCTGTTCTTTTTGTTTGCAGTTACATCTGCTCATCTCCACCTGTCCATGCTCCTTTCATTCAATTAACCAGTGCATTTTCATTATACATTCTAAATTAAATCAAAACTGGCACCGCGTAGATTAAGGGTAGGTCGCAAAATTTTTTTCCGCGTTAATCAAAACCGCGGTATTCAAAACCGTGCTAATCAAGGGATTGCTGTAATTCAATCCTTACATCCAATTCACTAGCATATTTTCATTACACATTTCAAATTAAAACAACCATTTCATTTGCAATTTTATTAAGTTGTGTGTTTATTTACTGTCCCATATTTTAATTCATTTTGCATTAGAACCAGTCTTTCATTTTCCTTCATTCAGAGTAGGGTTGTTGCAGTTAGTTAGAAGCAGATAACAGGTTTATCTCACCTGCGGCGCAAGACATTTTAGACCCGGCAACAATGGTAAGGCCATCCGCGTATGAGGCAATATTGGGGGTAGGCACTGGGATGTCAGAGATGAAGTGGTTAAAGAGGGCCGGCAAGATGACCAAGCCCTGGGGAACACTTGAGTGGATGGCGCTGAAAGGCGATTGAGTTCTGAGGTAGAGGCAAGATGCCTGCCTGCCTCGGAGGTAGCAGCACAGCCAGCGGACCAGGTTGTGATGTAGGTCCAAGGCCACAATCATGCTTAGGAGGAGAGGGTGGTCGACACTGTTGAAAGCCTTCAAGAGGTTGACTGCCGCAGCGACAGTGCGGGGTGGAGGGCATTTGAAACCATGTTGCGAAAGGAGTGGTGAGGGATCCTACAATATAGGGGAGCACAAGACCCTCTAAGATCTTGGCTGCAGGGCAGAGGAGGGAGATAGAGCAGTATGAAGAGCCCTGGTTTCCGGGTTTGCTCGGTTTGAGGATTGGAATAATTATTGAATTTTTCCAAAAGGATGGGATAGAGGCTGTGGCAACAGAGATGTTAAAAATGTGGGTGAGGAACTGGATACCGCATGGCCTGAGGTGCTTAAAGTGAAGAACCATGAGGCTGTCTGGACCTCAAGCAGAGGAGTTGCTGGCAGCAGCAATGGCAAACTTTACCATGTCGGGAATCAAAGTAAATAACTTGCAGAAGGCAGAAGAGATCTTGCACCAAGATGAAAGGGTATTCAGACCAAATTGGATTGGCTGATTGGGGGTAGGGCGGTTTTGCTTTCCAGCTAGGGAGCGAAGGAGATTCCAGTGCTTGGAATGGTTTGTGCGCCTGCAGCATGATGCAAGATGTGTTTGCCATGTTTTTCTGGCATGCCCCTGAATGGAAATACTAATTTCCAGGTTGAGTTCTGGGAGCCGGGGGTCTGTTAGATTACGTGCCCTGATGTCATCCTGTTGCTCGATGAGCAACCGAGTGCCAGGGTTGACCGAGGGGGAGAAATCCTTCCTGAAACCCACGGGGATATGCTGTCTGGCAGCAGTGGTCAAGATTTCCCTCAAGGTCGACTCACTGCCACATGAGGTGGGGGGAGGGACCATCTGGAGTGCCGTTTCGATGGCTGCCTTGTAGGCAGGCCAGTCAGTTTTTCTGAAGTTGGCGTATGAGCGGGCAGCCCGGGGGGTCAGGCTGCCATTAGAAGTACATTGCATCAGAAGTTGAGCAATGATGTTTAGGAATGTGTTGTATTATGTTGTTATACTGTGCTATGTTATGATGTGTCATGTTGTTATTCTGTGCTATGTTATGATGTGTTATGTTGTTATACTGTGCAATGTTATAATGTACTATGTTGTTATACTGTGCAATGTTATAATGTACTATGTTGTTATACTGTGCTATGTTATAATGTGGTATGTTATACTGTGCTATGTTATGTGTTATATTATGTTTCTAAACTGTGCTATCTTATGATGTATTATGTTATGTTGATATACTTTGTTATGTTATGTGTGTTATATTGCTTTGTGTAGTGACATGTTGCATTGTTATGTTTTAAGTGTTATGTTATGCTATTATGTGTTAGAAGGTGTTGTGTTATGTTATGCTGTCATAATTTTTCTGTTGTGTTATGTTATTTTTCTGTGTGTGACAATGTAGGTATTGGGTTTTGTTATATTGTATTGCAATGTGCTGTGTTATTTTATGCTACAATTTTTATGTTATAATGTGTTGTGTAATATTATCATATATGGTGTTATAATGGGCTACAATATGTAGTGCTATGATCTGTTATTTTGTCATGTAATATTTTGTTCTGTTATTTTGTGTTGTAATGCATTGTATAATGTATAACACAACATTACACATTGTAACACAATATAATAACCAGACCTCACACAATAAACTCAACATTATGAAGCAACAAAACGCATTATAATTCATTAAATTGCATTTGAATTATTTTGAACTAATTTGAACTCATTAAAACACACTAGGATGCATTAGAGCATGTTAAAACACACTAAACCGCATTATAACGCAACAGAACCCATGAGAATGCATTAGAACACAACAAAAACTATTAGAATGCATTATAACCCACTAGATCGCTTTAGAAGGCACTAGATCGCATTAGAATGCACAAGATAGCATTAGAAGGCACAAAATTGCATTAGAAGGCACAAAATCGCATTAGAAGGCACAAGATCACACTAGATGACAGTAGATCGCATTAGAAGGGACTGGATCGCATTAGAAAGCACAAGATCGCATTAGAAGGCACTAGATCGCATTAGAAGGCACTAGATCGCATTAGAAGGCACTAGATCGCATTAGAAGGCACTAGATCGCATTAGAAGGCACTAGATCGCATTA